ATGCTAGAATGAGAATTACCTCCTACACAATGTCACATGTATTTAGTAGCTACTCAACCCAGATTTTGACTTTCTGGTACAAATGTTTAACCACAATTTGCTCTTATGAGGCCATCAAGAAAATGATGGCTGCAAAAGTATAAAATATCTAATAAATAATATTACCATAAAATTATGTAAAACAAAAGTTAGTTGCCACAGTGTGGGAGAGAGGCATCAGGCTCAAAGAGAATGAGTGAACCAACAGTGCAGCCCACACTGGAGCCACAGCCTTGGGCAATTGGGCCTTACAACCCACACCTCAGACAAAACTGAACAAAATGCTGCCTAGAAGAGGCAGAAACAACAGTGCTGGTAACAGGGACCTTAGAGGCAGAAAGCAGCTCAAATATTTACAGTGGAACCTCGAGTGAGGAGCGACTCCAGTTACGAGCATTTCAAGTAACGGGCAAGCCACTCGCAGAAAATATGTCACGCCTGACAAGCTTTCGCTCGATTAACGAGCGTTCCCGCTGGTTCTCGGACACCTCCAACGACAGTTTTGTTGTTATTTCTCAAGACGAGTTTTCCACATGACGAGCTATTTGCCAAAATGAATTAAACTCGTTAAACGAGGCACCACTGTACTCGAAAAGGAGTTTGCATGAATGCTCTAACTACCAGCAGTGTCCAATCCATCTCCCTTGAAAGAAATAGAAGCAAAGAAAATAGGGAATAAACAGTAAAGACTGTCATTAAGCCAACCCATCCTCCAATGAAGATACTATTTATAGTAACTATTTGGTCAAACAAACAAATGGTCTCTTGGACCCCATACAGTTCTCATTTCGGACTATTAAATTAGCCCAAATGATATTAAAAAAATAAAAAAGTAGCTACAGAACCTAGCCTAGCTTGTCCAAGCAATCCTAGGCCTAATATATGCTATCTTAGGCCTAATATAGTACATGTATGCTATACTAGGCCTAGAAATGCTTAAAACCGTTGTTTTTGTGCACTACAAAATTAACGGTAAAAACTGGACATCTTTGGTCATAACAGTCCATTTTTGTACGTTCGACCAAATACAGTAGTTGCTATAAGTTCAATCATTGTAAAAGGATTGGTTAACTATGTGGATTCCTAGAGGTGCTCTAAGCCGACACTCGGCATAGAAATCTGTCACGGCATCATAAATGAATGGAGCAAAATGATTTGGCAAGGTATCCAAAGCAGAAAGCAGGGAGCCGGTCGGCCGAGCGGACAGCACACTGGACTTGTGATCCTGTGGTCCTGGGTTCGATCCCAGGCACCGGCGAGAAACAATGGGCAGAGTTTCTTTCACCCTATGCCCCTGTTACCTAGCAGTAAAATAGGTACCTGGGTGTTAGTCAGCTGTCACGGGCTGCTTCCTGGGGGTGGAGGCCTGGTCGAGGACTGGGCCGCAGGGACACTAAAAAAAAACCCTGAAATCACCTCAAGATACTGCGGCAAACAAGGATGATCAGGAAGTATGGGAAGCCACCTCTGCACCTAACTGTAACTATAACATTTCCAGAGTAGCACAACAAAGCCTTATTGTCCCGACTAAAACCACAGGCAATTTGGGAACAAGGCCATGAAGTTGCCACAAACTTATATCACAGAAAAGGGCAGGAGCAAGATAAGGTAATTATCACGAGAAAGCACTAAGCCATTATTACTATACAGCATTTGGAAGGGACAAATGGGAAAGCATTTAGGACGAAGATAAGGAATGGTGCCCAAGCATTTGGACGGTCAGTGATTGAATGCTGACCTGCAAGAAGCGAGACCATCACTTCACTATCCAGTCCAAGTGGTTAGGCAGGACAGGAGCAAATAATACTACATTAAACACATCAATAGAGGAACCAGCAAAAACACATTAAGACTGGAGCAACCTCTTTCCAAGACAACACCCTTTAAACTACCAAAATTACCCCATTTCTTCAAGACAACGACATAGGAAAATGCTATATAACAGAGTGTCTGTGGAACCAAATTCTAATACATATGGGTCTATTTACAAACCAATATCCTGGTTCTTAAATACAAAGAAACAAAGACGAATACATGAAATACATTGCAGCCAGTCAGGGTGAGGGAGCAAGCCCTAGTAAAGGGTGCAATAGAAAAACTTGGAAGCCTGCACACAACGCACAGTGGGATGAGGTTGTGTACAAGTGGGTTGCACACCACCACACAGTTGGTGGGACAATTCACAATGCAGAAATAAGAAATGTTGCAAGCAGGTTTGCAGCCAGCCTTGGCACACCGGATTTCCAAGCAAGTGATAGGTGGATTGTAAGGTTTCAAGCGAGGCACAATACTGCGAAGAGGAAAATTCTCAAAATGAAAAATTGGGTACAGATATGAGAAGTACAAATTATACAAATTAAGAACATACACTTTGTCTAATAATTTATAATTGTATCAAATCCATAACAGGGATGAAACTGGGCTGTATTGGATGGGAGAGCCTGAAAAAACTTGGCTCTGAGGAGTGAGGGTAGTGTGCCAGGGTGAAAGGTTAACATGGATAGTTATCTTGAGATTCTTGAGGTTATCTTGAGATGATTTCGGGGCTTTAGTGTCCCCGCGGCCCGGTCCTCGACCAGGCCTCCACCCCCAGGAAGCAGCCTGTGACAGCTGACTAACACCCAGGTACCTAATTTACTGCTAGGTAACAGGGGCATAGGGTGAAAGAAACTCTGCCCATTGTTTCTCGCCGGCGCCCGGGATCGAACCCGGGACCACAGGATCACAAGTCCAGCGTGCTGTCCGCTCGGCCGACCGGCTCCCTTGTCATCCCTTGATGGGATGTCAGCTATGATGTGCACCAATGCCGACAGTACACACACAATCACATGTGCAATTGTTGGCAAATCCAAGAAACCAAGAGCCTAGAAAACATTGATTGAACAATCTGCCTGTGAGATATTATAGCTCAAAGAACATACGGAGATCATTCCTTCTTGGTTTCATGATGTGTTTTGCAAGGAAGTTTTAGGTTATTAAATTAAGAAACACAAAGCGAGGCCAAGCAACATGCTGTTTGATAATGCCCCTGCCCACCCCTGTATTGATACAACCAATACAGGGGTCACAATCACAAGAGAGCAACACCGGGGCAATACTTCACAGGGAAAGGCTGTAATCAATCACAATGTGTTTACATAGCATATCAAATTCTTGATTAATTAGTTTTGATGTAACTGTACTGGCTGGAATGTGAAAGCCACATGTCAATGATACTATATTTTCATTCATTTATGTGGCATTATTTTATTACTGTTGCCATTATCTAATATACATTTTAAAGGGCCCCTCTAATGTCTATACTACATACGAAACTGAAGTTTCCAGCCAACACACAGAGGTTGTATGGTCGAGCCTGGCCCCAGGCCGGGCTCGGGGAGTAGAAGAACTCCCGAAAGCCTAACCAGGTATGCTCCTGGTATTCCAGCCAGGGGTACTAAATATCTTTTACAAGCCGTTATAATTTAAGTCACACACATGCCAAAATGTTTTACCATAAATGCAGATACAGCACATTAAAACAAAAATACAAACCTGATGCAGTAATAATGGGCTCATTAGGCTCGACTGTTAATTCACTCATGTCAACAATTGCTGAATCGCCGCGTAATCGCCGCTCTCGAGCTGTGGCTGCTAAGAGTACAGCTGCATTCAGTCGCTCTAGAAGTCGCCGTATGCTTAGATCCATCTGTACAGTCGGCAAAATAAAAATGTATATATATTATAATATATTATATATTATATATATTATAATGTTATATATTATTTATTTTATTTATATTTATATATATTTATATTATTTATATTTATATATATTTATATTTATATATATATATTATATATTATATATATATATATATATATATATATATATATATATATATATATATATATATATATATATATATATATATATATATATATATATATATATATATATATACAGAGCACCACTTGGTTTCCGAACCCCTTGGGGACGAGACCCGTCGGTTAACATGTAAGTTCGTATACGAGAAATAAAGGGGAAAAAATAAACTAGAAATGTAAAAAGAAATGTTTCCGAAAAATTTACGAAAAACACTCTAGGGGAAAAAAATCGACAGGTTCATGGCGTAAATGCGACCGTGTTTTGTTTTTACTCACCAATAAGTGAAGTCCTGATCCGCTTTATAAAAGTCCTTAATTGTTCCTAACTGATTATTAAGACGTCTGGCAAACATCCTCTGGATGTTTCCTGCCAGCCTGCAGGCACATCCTGCCAGCCTGCAGGCACATCCTGCCAGCCTGCAGGCACATCCTGCCAACCTGCAGGCACATCCTGCCAACCTGCCTGCCAGCCTGCAGGAACATCCTGCCAGCCTGCAGGCACATCCTGCCAGCCTGCAGGCACATCCTGCCAACCTGCCTGCCAGCCTGCAGGAACATCCTGCCAGCCTGCAGGCACATCCTGCCAGCCTGCAGGAACATCCTGCCAGCCTGCAGGCACATCCTGCCAACCTGCCTGCCAGCCTGCAGGCACATCCTGCCAGCCTGCAGAAACATCTTGCCAGCCTGCAGGCACATCCTGCCAGCCTGCAGGCACATCCTGCCAGCCTGCAGGAACATCCTGCCAGCCTGCAGGCACATCCTGCCAGCCTGCCTGCCAGCCTGCAGGCACATCCTGCCAGTCTGCAGAAACATCCTGCCAGCCTGCCTGCCAACCTGCAGGCACATCCTGCCAGCCTGCAGGAACATCCTGCCAGCCTGCCTGCCAGCTTGAGTGCCAGCCTGCAGGCACATCCTGCAGGCACATCCTGCCAGCCTGCAGGAACATCCTGCCAGCCTGCAGGCACATCCTGCCAGCCTGCCTGCCAGCCTGCAGGCACATCCTGCCAGCCTGCAGAAACATCCTGCCAGCCTGCCTGCAGACGCATCCTGCCAGCCTGCAGGCACATCCTGCCAGCCTGCCTGCCAGCTTGCCTGCCAGCCTGCAGGCACATCCTGCCAGCCTGCAGGAACATCCTGCCAGCCTGCAGGCACATCCTGCCAGCCTGCAGAAACATCCTGCCAGCCTGCCTGCAGACGCATCCTGCCAGCCTGCAGGCACATCCTGCCAGCCTGCCTGCCAGCTTGCCTGCCAGCCTGCAGGCACATCCTGCAGGCACATCCTGCCAGCCTGCAGGCACATCCTGCCTAAAATATACGATGATGTACTGTACATTTAAGAAACAAATCTGGGTCACAGGTCTGTGGAGTGTGGTTAGGCTTACGGAGTCAGCCAGTCCCTCCCCCACCACCGACACACCTCCCCCACCCCCCCACCCCAAACCCATACACACACACACACTCTCAAAGGTCACGTGGTTCACGGTTCACTTCAACACCCATATATCGCTTCCTGCCTGCCTGCCTCCTTCTCAGCCTGCCAGCCTGCCTCCCTCCCTGCCATCATGCTAACGGGTAGTGTGTGTTAGGCTTATCTTCGGGAATGAGCCGGTCTCACCCCCACCACCAACAAACCACCCGCCCCCCTACATCCCATCTCTCAAGGTCACGCGGTTCAACTGCGTGACTACCACTCACTCCCTGCCTGCCAGCCTTCCTGCAAGCTAGCCTGCCTGCCTGCCTGCCTGCCTGCCTGCCTGCCAGCCTGCCTTTCCCTCCCTAATTCTCACTACTTCCATCCCTTCCTGCCTACCTCCTAGCATCTCTCCCTACCTCCCCCTCCCTCTTAGCATCTCTCCCTACCTCCTAACATCTCTCCCTACCTCCCCCTCCCTCCTAGCATCTCTCTCTCCCCCTCTCTCACTGATTCTCCCCCCCCCTCATTCATACTGCCTCCCACCTAAGCTCCCTCATCCATCCACCCACCAGTCAGCCATCACTGACGCAATGCGTGCATTTGGAGCCAACATGGTGCACAGATGTTTCTTGATTGTGCAGATATGTAAAACAAAAGCACAGAATGAACATTCCAGCCTTATGGCAATTCAAAATAATAGGAATAATAGGCCGTGAATCTGTGAAGTCACAGTGGGCAAACTGGACCATCGCCCACCCACCACCACAAGCCGGCGTGACGCTTGGCGGACCCCTTCCTACCCGAACTTTGTTCGGGTAGCATGACTCTCCAACCCCAATCGGGAAACTGGAAGTTTCGGATAACTAAAGTTCGGAAACCAAGTGGTGCTCTGTATGTATGTATGTATGTATGTATATATATGTATATATATATATATATATATATATATATATATATATATATATATATATATATATATATATATATATATATATATATATATATATATATATATATATATATATATATATATATATATATATTTATTTATTTATTTATTTATTTTAAATATGTCCCTGGTAAAATATATAGTAATAACATCAATATCAAGATAACATTTTGAATACACCAACAAATTTAAGAAAAAATACTCCAATAACAAATGCACTTACCTGTTCATTCATTAATGCAGCTAGCTGACCAAATACTACAGTCTGCCGAGTGTTGATCAGATGAGCTAAATGGTAAAGTGGCCGGTACAGTGTATGCGAGTCATCATTAGTCACAGGTGGAGTATTGTATCTATGAGTAACTTGGGGAGGGGTAAGGCTATCTCCACCTGCCGCCGACGGGGGCGTGTGAGACCCCGGCCCACGGAAATGTAACGATGGTCTTGGAGAATTGCTGCGGGAAGCTGGCAGGCTATTACTCATGTAGCCCTCTCCACTGTTGCTCTCGTGGCGTCGTCCATCAAGGCTTCCTTCGTCGGGCCCAACCCTGTATGGTGGACGCTGATCCTTATGACCACCTGCAAAACCTTGTGGGCCAAGTACAACTGGTTTCCCTGCAGGAACCTGAGAGCCCATAACACCAACTGCTGCCTCTTGCTGTTCTTTGAGTTGGCGTCTCCTCCTCTTACTCCATAACTCGTGACAATCTTGATACTTGGGTAATGGTGGCGGTTCCATTCTGGAATATATGGCCGACCAACATTAGCTTTACACGACACACAAATAATGTTTATACAGTGTGCCTTCCACAACAATACATATGAATTTTGCTCTATTTGGGCCTTCTATAATAATGAACATGTCACCAATTAAATAATTGTCAATAACAGCCAACTGAGAAAGATCTAATTCCTATGCCAGGTATATCCCACAAATTAAAATATGAACGAGTTGTATCGCAGTTGAGTGGAGGACCAATAGCTATGGTGCAGGAAGAATGAGCACATGTCTGGCTGTTTGGACTGCCTATGGCTTGTGTTATGGACGTGCATGTTGTATAGTGGGTGGTGGTGGTTAATATGGATGACATTGTGTGGCTTGGCTCATTTTGAGTAGGGGTTGAGGTGGAAAATAATAAACATTTAGGTAAATAATAAAACATGGGTAGATATGGGATAAAACATGGGTGGACATGGGATATGTTGGTAGGTGTTATTGGCCAGCGTGGGAGGCCACACACAGAGGTGTTATGGTCGCAGGTGTTATGGTGTTCGAATGTGGGGAGAGGGAAGGGAACTATCAGGAGGTGCCGAGCCATTGCGGCCACATAGCACTTGGAAGGGATCAGGATAATGTGGTATCGTGGATCAGGTGGTAGTGGTGTAGGTGGGTGACAACATGGTGGGGGTGGTAGTGGTGTAGGTGGGTGACAACATGGTGGGGGTGGTAGTGGTGTAGGTGGGTGACAACATGGTGGGGGTGGTAGTGGTGTAGGTGGGTGACAATATGGTGGTAGTGGTGTAGGTGGGTGACAACATGGTGGGGGTGGTAGTGGTGGTGTAGGTGGGTGACAACTTGGTGGGGGTGGTAGTGGTGTAGGTGGGTGACAACATGGTGGGGGGTAGTAGTGGTGTAGGTGGGTGACAACTTGGTGGGGGTGGTAGTGGTGTAGGTGGGTGACATGGTGGGGGTGGTAGTGGTGTAGATGGGTGACAACATGGTGGGGGTGGTAGTGGTGTAGGTAGGTGACAACTTGGTGGGGGTGGTAGTGGTGTAGGTGGGTGACAACATGGTGGGGGGTGGTAGTGGTGTAGGTGGGTGACAACTTGGTGGGGGTGGTAGTGGTGTAGGTGAGTGACATGGTGGGGGGTGGTAGTGGTGTAGGTGGGTGACAACATGGTGGGGGTGGTAGTGGTGTAGGTGGGTGACAACATGGTGGGGGTGGTAGTGGTGTAGGTGGGTGACAACATGGTGGGGGTGGTAGTGGTGTAGGTGGGTGACAACATGGTGGGGGTGGTAGTGGTGTAGGTGGGTGACAACATGGTGGGGGTGGTAGTGGTGTAGGTGGGTGACAATATGGTGGTAGTGGTGTAGGTGGGTGACAATATGGTGGTAGTGGTGTAGGTGGGTGACAATATGGTGGTAGTGGTGTAGGTGGGTGACAACATGGTGGGGGTGGTAGTGGTGTAGGTGGGTGACAACATGGTGGGGGTGGTAGTGGTGTAGGTGGGTGACAACATGGTGGGGGTGGTAGTGGTGTAGGTGGGTGACAACATGGTGGTAGTGACATAGGTGGGTGACAACATGGGGGTGGTGGTAGTGGTGTAGGTGGGTGACAACATGGTGGTAGTGACATAGGTGGGTGACAACATGGGGGTGGTGGTAGTGGTGTAGGTGGGTGACAACATGGTGGTAGTGACATAGGTGGGTGACAACATGGTGGTAGTGGTGTAGGTGGGTGACAACATGGTGGTAGTGACATAGGTGGGTGACAACATGGTGGTAGTGACATAGGTGGGTGACAACATGGTGGTACTGACATAGGTGGGTGACAACATGGGGGTGGTGGTAGTGGTGTAGGTGGGTGACAACATGGTGGTAGTGACATAGGTGGGTGACAACATGGTGGTAGTGACATAGGTGGGTGACAACATGGTGGTAGTGACATAGGTGGGTGACAACATGGTGGTAGTGACATAGGTGGGTGACAACATGGTGGTACTGACATAGGTGGGTGACAACATGGTGGTACTGACATAGGTGGGTGACAACATGGTGGTAGTGACATAGGTGGGTGACAACATGGTGGTACTGACATAGGTGGGTGTATCCCTACAGTAAACACAAAATGTTTGTGCTAGTTGATATGGATGGTCTGATGATCCTAAACAAGTGCCATTTCAATTGAATTTGATGAAAACTGTCTTTTATAAATAAGAGAACACAGAACACAATCAAAACCACATGTCAAGATTATTAACAAACTTTGTAGCAAAGAAATGATCAGAAAAAAGTACTCAGTCTGTATGACCTTTCAGCACACATGGAAGACTCCAAACAAAGATTTGGAGTTGTTTGTGTAATTACAAGTCGGGATTAACATTCTTCAAGGATTACTGCCAAATCACTGCCACAAACAGTGGCACAGTTCACTCTGTGTTCTGCTCACTTAGTGGAGCAGAACCACTTGGGGTGGACGGTAGAGCGACGGTCTCGCGTCATGCAGGTCGCCGTTCAATCCATAACCGTCCAAGTGGTTAGGCACCATTCCTGCCCCCCCCCCCCACCGTCCCATCCCAAAATCCTTAACCTGACCCCCCCTTCCTATCGAGTGCTATATAGTCGTAATGGCTTGGCACTGTTCCCCTGATATTTCCCTTCCTCCCTCACTTAGTGTTCACTCTTAAGGAGCCGTTCACAGGCTATTATTTAACAAGCACGCACACTCAAAACAAACATCTGAGTGAACATATCTAACACAAGTCAACACACACATTATCAAGGATAGTTAATGTATGACTAAATACTGAGTGGAACAGCTACATACACAAGCAAGATGACCACCTGTGGCATAATAGCCATCATTTTCTATGGGTTAATGGACAACGTATAATTTCCAAATGACAGTTTAACGCACAAATCAGTAAACTGAAAGGAAAGACTACTCGTGATATCAAGAAAAACAAAACAGGAGTATCAATATACTTGTTGAACAGTACAGCTTAATACTCTATACAAATTAATTCATTCATAAAGTTGCCAGTCAAAATGGTGCATTTCATGAAAATGTTTGAAAATCATTATTGACACAAGTTTAGAGTCGTGGGTGTACTTACAAGTCAGGATCAACATTCTTCAGCCAGGCACTATTAAGTGCATTCTCTGCACTAATACGTTTTGATGGGTCAAGCTTCAGCATCTGATCAAGAAGGTCTAAGGCTGGCTGAGGCATCTTATCCTTGAAGTCTTCCATTATTCTTCTGCGGTAGGTTTTCTTGGGCTTCATTGTGCCCCACCCGGGTAGCTTGACAATGTCTGGCCAGTCAGCTGGGGTCGGCGTCCCACACACTCGAGATATTACGTCCAACTGCATCGCTTCAGTACTCGCCTGCATTATAATCAAATAACATTTCAAACTATATTACATATGCTATATTACAGAGGCAATAAAGCAACTCATCCCCCTCTCCAAGGCACTAGTACACACAGTGAATGTGACCAGTGTCACCAAGTCAGTACACAAAGTGAATGTGACCAGTGTTACAAAGTCTGTACATGACTTGTACCAAATAACAGTAAATCTTCTAAAAGTTATACTAGTTACTTTTTCTCACATATAAAATAATACTCTTATATATTGGGGATTGTCGATTCGCGAGCGACCCAAATCCTCCAGAATGATATCCACACAGCCTCGAAGTCCCACACCGAGCTGTGAGCCCAATGGAAGGATGAATCCCATCGCCCCTGGCCGGCCTGGTGAGCACTGGTCACAAAGCCGCAGCCAAGAGATGGCGCGTCCAAGAATACATCGAGCGTGGGCTCAGGTAGGCGTCAAGGCAGTGAACCCCAAAAAAGAAGCCGACAACTCAGCAACCGACGCAAAGCCCCCGGAAGCTGAACCCAGAGGTCACGAGAGAGGTGGCAGGGACGTCCCCAAAAGAACCAGAATAACCAACAAACCCACACCCGACCTGGCAGTTAGACCATCATGGCAAAGTTCAGGCTCCCGCACAAATCCTCGAGCAACCGCCTGCGTGACCCGGGAGCTCCTCAGGAACAAACGAAGGCAAGAACGCAGGCGAAGCAGAGCCGCCAGAGGAAGAGACAAGGAAGCGGTCGGAGCATCCCACACAAGACCTTGCCAAGACCGAACGTGAGAGGGTACCAGATGATGGGACTTCCGCCAGTTCACCAGGAACCAAAACCTGGCGAGCTGGGAAAGAACCAAATCCCTGGGGAGCAGACACGTGGAGTGGCTGGGGGCCCAAACCAGCCAGTCGTCGAGGTAGGTCAGAACCCAAACATCTTACAGACACAGGCGAGCCAAAATGACCCGAGTAAGGTGTGTGAAAATGCGAGGTGCCAGATTCAAGCCGAATGGAAGGCAACGAAAGCGGTAACCATGACGCCCCACAACAAAACCGAGCCAGTCCTTGAACCTCGGATGAATCAGGACGTGCCAATACACATCCTTGAGGTCCAGGGACACCATCCAAGTGCCCGGTTCCAACAGGAGACAGACCTAGGGCAGTAGTCATCCAAAAGGAGGGGCAATAAACCCACGGATTCAGACGGGACAAGTCCAGAATGAACCAGATGTCTGCTCAGTCCCATTTCGTGACCAGAACAGGTGGGAAAACCCACCAGAGAGATGAGGTTGTTTCAACCATGCCCAAGAGAACCTACTCTGAGATGCCTCAACAGAGTGCAAGAGAAGAAGCCTGCCCTGCAAGCCCCGAACCCCCAGGAGGAGGAGGAGGAACCCCCCCAATACCACCACAGGCCGCACGAAATGACCCGAAAGGCCCACAAAACGTTAGACCAGGCGCGAGCTTTTCCCCCATCACCCCGTCAATGGGATGAGCCGTGAAAAGGCCGACGCACAGTACAAGAACCTAAGCGGCGCACAGGGCGATCCCTGCGTCGACCAGAAAAAGATGGAACTGAAGGCTGTGCCTGCCTCGAATCTGGCACCACTGGCCTACCACAACGGGAAGAACCCCAACCCCTCACACCTCCCTTTTGGGAAGGCCCCCCACGAGCCCCTGCAGGACCAACAAGTCCGACATAGGATGGCAACAAGCCGAAGCTGCCTGCAGATACTACACAACCACAGACTCTGCAAAACGACAATGGACAAAAAGGCAAAATGCAGGGTCGAAGCCAGCAGACCACGTGTAACCATGTATGTAAATACTCTGCGACCAAGTCAGCAGAAAGGGGAGGAACCTGCACATAAAACTGCATCACACTAACATCCCGTGGAAGGGCAGGAGGCCAGTAAAGAGCAGGGGTGCCATAGGCGCAATCAGAGAACACTGTACTGTATAAACATCAGAGGTCCATGGTTGTTCAACATCCTCCCAGCGAGCATAAGAAATATTGTGGGAAAACCGTGGACATCTTCAAGATAAAACTAGATTGTTTTCTCAAAGAAGTACAGGACCAGCTGGGCTGTGGTGGCTATGTGGGCCTGCGGACCGCACCAAGCAATAGCTCCTGGTGGACCAAACTCTCACAATGGCCTCAGGCCGGGCTTGGGGAATAGAACAACTCCCAGAACCCCATCAAGCAGGTATCAAGCAGGGCGAACAAACATGCATCGAGATGCTCAAATTCGCTCCCTCAAGAAGACCTGCAATGCCGTCTGAGCCTCCCTCCACTCAAGCAAGCAGGACAGACAGAACGCATGCCAAGCCTCCAACAGAAGAGTGGGCAGTTTGCTAACCAGGATGACTCTGGAACTTCATAACGAACCCAGTACGGACACGAAGATCCGTACACGAAGAAATGCTTATCCATCACGAAAGCATAATCTGGGTTGCGCAGGAGGTAAGCCACAAGGGCTTCCACACCACATGTGACGGGACGAGGGAAGCCGAAAACCTCCAGAAGGACGGGACCGAGGAACCCACTGGATCACGGTATTCAACCAAGGGAGGGGTAAACGCCAAATCCAATTCGTACTGGTAGGGAGCAAAAGAGAACCCCTCTCCTTGTAACACCAAGCCTCGCTTCGAGGGTACAATAAACCAGGCGGGGTCCAACTGGGCCCAAGGACCCCAAGTCCACCCCTCCCCCGCAACAGGAACCTCACCCCGAGGACTCGAGGCCGAGTCGTCAGCAGGAGCAGCCAAAAACGCAGGAACTGAAGGGGCCCACTGGTCAGACCCAGAAGCTCCGGCTGGAGGACTAAGCTCAAATGCCTCCACCGCCACCCCAGAAAGGGACTTCCACCACAAAACCGCCCGAGTCTCAACACCAACTAAATCCTGCCCCGACTCTGAAAATGTCTGAAACTCTCTGACATTTTGAAGCCAGAAGTAAGGATTGGGGGGGGGGGGGACCGCACGAATAACCTAAGGGGAAGGACAAGTAAGGGCATACAGAACCAAAGTCGAAGCCACTCCCACCCCCCAAGTCCGGGTCCATATAACTAAAACATGGCAGCTTCAGGGCATCCGGGGAAGCAACGAGCCTATCACGTTGCAGCAACCTAAACCAAGCATGCAACTCCTCTGCCGCCTGCACCCTCGTATCATGTTCAGTAGCTTGGGTGAACTGGAGCACCTACAAAGAACAAACATCGCACGACTCCGGGTCAAAAGAATCACTGATCCGATAGGCAGCATGGCGGAGGCAAAACCGGTTACTGTCACCCTGAGACAAGGGGACAGAGCAACCATCAACCTTGCACGAAGCTAGACAGGACTTAGGGGTCACATCCATCGGACTACAGAGCTCCTGTAGGGTTTCCCAGGGCCCTTAGTCTTGGAATCACGCTAAGGGTAGCTCAGGCAGGGTACTGCGAACCAGCACACAAAACTACCGAACAAACTTCTAAAAGCTGAACTCCTGGGACGTGTCCACTCATGGGGGGCCCTAGCATGGGGGTACCACCAAAAACACAGATGTATATAGAATGACCCCCAAATGTAGAAAGGGGGAAAAGCAACCAAAGACAGACCCCCTCACTAGGCAGGAAAATAAAAACAAAAGAAAAACCCCGCAAGAGGACAATGTACCCAGGCGGAACAGAGTCGGCCGCTATAATATGTGATAACTAGCTGTGCAATACCTCGCACTCCTACCAGTGACGAAAACTACCTCCTACCCAGAGGCAAACAAGGGCAACAAAAACCCCAGCTGATTCCAAGGGCGGCTGATTACCGAGCAGTAAAATACACAGCAGAGGTAGGCCCCAAGGTGACTTGTGGAAGGTGGCCCCAAGCCCCAAGGGCAGTACTTACAGGGCACCTAGGGCAGGAAACCCTAGGCGCATGCAGCCCAAGTACCGTAGAATATTACTCCTGGCTCACACACCACCTGTAGAGACAGACCATGCCACAAGGCACAGTAACTGAAATCAAAACAGGAGCCAGACACACACAACTTGCCAGTATCACATCAGCCATCAGAACTGCCGGTTCTTGGCCACTGCTCCTCGTGCCTCTCTGAGGGGGCCAGGTTCTGGCTCGTTGTCTCCAGTAGGCAAGAACTCCATGCACTTCAACTGATACCAGAAAGCTAATAGATACATATAAACCTGGATAGCTCTAGGGAGCCGTCGGGGCTCTCCCCAGAAATAAAAAAGTGACAAAAAATATTAGAAAGTTTTCTCTTGCAAACAGTGGTAGATAGTTGAAAAGTGAGAAGGTGGTGGAGGCCTAAAGCGTCAGTAGATTCAAAGCGTTATATGACAGAGTACTGGGAAGACGGGACACCACGAGTGAAAGTCTCATCCAGTAACAATACTTAGGTAATTACTTCATGTTCACTCTAAGCTGCTTAGTCAAAACTTTTGCTCAACACTAGCCATACCCAAAACATTTAGCCTTTTTGGTGGTTCACTATGGAATGTCTCCTCTCTGCACAGTTCTCAAATATTCAAACAATATCATCGCAACCTATTCCCAGTATCCAGCATAATGTGCACGTGTGCTGATAGTTACCTAAGCCATTCACATAACTGCACCCAGATGTGAATATGGGTGCATTGAACTTCTCATATGATTCAACATTCACAAAACTGAAGCTAGTGAAAACAACCACCAACCTGAAAAAGTGGCCGCTTTTGGAAGAGTTCGCCGAGGATACACCCGCACGACCACACATCAATGGCGGGCCCATAACGCTCCTCTCCCAGCAGTAGCTCAGGAGGACGATACCAGAGTGTGATGACCTTGTTCGTGTATGGCCGCTCCTTATTTGAACTGAACAATCTAGCCAAACCAAAATCACCCAACTTGATTTGGCCTCTGAAATATATTAATTTGGGAATTATGTAATGCAAAAACTATAAAGAAGCAGGAAATGCATTTTTCTGACATATAACATTTATATTAAAATGTCTTATTTTGAATGTTCTAAACAAAGTATTTTTACTGCAATTACAGAACTGTATATTCATTTGGAATTACATTCAATATTTTATTTTTGTAATGAAATAAAGATGGAACAAGAAAATGGTGTACATATGTTTTGACAGCACCTGACTGAAGGAGGTACTAACTCACAATACCGGCACTACTATCTATGTTCTTAAATAACTATACCTTGCCCACACCCCAGCAGTACTCTGATAAAGAATGTAATTAATGTCTGCCACAGTCTAGGTTAGAGCCAGGTATTACCTACCTGGGACCAGATTCACGAAGCAGTTACGCAAGTACTTACAAACCTGCACATCTTTTCTCAATCTTTGGTGGCTTTCTTTACAATTATTAAACAGTTAATTAGCTTTGAAGCACCAGGAGGCTGTTTATAACAATAACAACAGTTGCTTGGGAAGTTTTCATGCTTGTAAACTGTTTAAGATATATAACCAAAGCCGTCAAAGATTGAGGAAAGATGTCCACTTCAATATTTCAGAAGCAGTTACGCAAGTACTTGCGTAACTGCTTCGTGAATCTGGCCCCTGGCAGATCATCTCTCAATCTCTCTACCTTTTGCGTGTTTATCACGAGGTCGCTATCATCAAGTTTCTCCTCCTCCATGGTTGTTCTTATTCTCAATCAAATTTCCCATGATCAGTCTCTGGTTTTTAGGAGCCTTGTCTCTATCTGCTACCCTCTGAATACCAACCAAGTTGGCTCCTATGGAGCGGGTCCAGGGATCAACGGCCCCATGGCCCAGTCTCCGACTCTGTTACTGTCTCTCTTCCTCTCTTATTGTTCCTGTATTTACTATTTGTACTACTATTTGTCTGCAGAATCGAGGTATTAGCTCTTGGACCTCGCCTTTCTAACCATCTATTTTTCCTCTATTATGTCTACTACATACATTTCCAACTGACACACGCACATACACACATCCCTGGGAAGCAGCCCATAGTAGCTGTCTAACTCTCGAAGTACCTATTTACTGCTAGGTAAATTTACTGCCAGGAAAGAAACTGCACATTTGTTTCCGCCTCGGCTGGGAATTGAACCCGGGCCCTTAGGACTACGACTCCCGAGCACTGTCCACTTAGCAGCGAGGCTCCTTATGATGAAGCCTTCAAGTTGCTACTACAATATTACTTTCCTCAAGGTCCCACTCTTGCTTCATTACAAGGCATAATATTCCTTAGGTTCTCTGGTTTCTTCCCCTTGCATATGAACTGGTAATCCTGGGAAATGCTGCATCAGAGATAACCCTACACCTTTTGTTTTCACAACCCTTGTTATACCAGTATTATGTCTAATGTTATTAGCTCCATCTGGCTCGAGGCAGTGGGCAAAGGGCGCTCCAGAACAGGTGGCATACTGGAGACGGGTATGGGCGAGATCCTCGGGACAAGGGTGGGCACTAACGAGTTGGAGAAGGGGGGTAAAGACGAGGAAGGTAACTTGGAAGGTATAGAGGGGTGGAGTGTGGTGAAGATAGGAATGTTATCTGGAAGTGAAGCAGCGCCCTATCTAGTGGTGGAGGTGGGAGTTATTGCTGAGCAGGTCTAATTGATAAGGTGTTACTAGTATTACAAGTCTAGTGGATATGACAGGGAAAAAAAAGTATGTGAAGGGAAATATAGAGTTGTATAGGTATCTGGAGAACTAATGGAGGTTGTGAAGTGGTCAGGCAAGTGAGAGACTTTGGGGAAGTGGCTGGATATGCAGCAGATGAAGTAGAAGTTGTGACGGATATGGATGGAGAGTTGAAGGATGAAAATCTTTCATAGAAGTGGGAGGGTGCGTGGTGGTGATGCAGATAGGGGGGGTGTAATGAAGAGGACTCCTAACTATAGAAGGGGAAGGAGAAGAATAACTAATCCCAAGGTTTCACTAATAATTAGGGTAACGGAAAGGGAGTCTAATTGGTCACTTAGCCTTGTGCCCATCCCTAGTATGGTCATGTTCCTAGGTTACCTGTGAACATTATAATTATGTCTGCATTTCTCTAGTTCATCTGCAACCATAACCCTTTCCACCTGCATCATTCTAAATCCCCTAGTCTTCAACTTTGTTTTGTTCTCCATTCTATATCACGGAGCTTTTGTGTTTGCTAACAAAATTTTAAATGGTGTGACTATTTGTCAGTTTCATTACTCCATCCACAGCCTCTAGCATTTACACGTCAATACTCTTGAGAGCACTTCTCTCCATTTTGACTCGTTCCTCTACACTGACATTTGTGATCTCCTCATCTGCCTTCTTGATAATCAGCAACTTTCATCTTTCTTAACAATGTTTCTCAAGTAATTACACTAGGATGATGCAGCATGCTTCATTACTTAAATTATGGTCCTTTCCACTCATGTGTTAACTTTCACCGACTCTACAAATGTTTTCTGCCCAGTTGGGCCTAGTGCTCCCTCCCTCCCTCTGTTGTATGGCATTAATACCCACTGTTCCCTCTACCCCTCACCCTCCTTCCATATATATAATTACATACATCTTCCATCCCATATATAATTACATGCATCTCCACTAGTGGTAAGCTGGTACAGTCAATTTCATAGAAAGAACAAGCTGTACAAGCAACTACTTACTTGTTATTCATCAGAATATTACTGCACTTAATATCCCTGTGAAGGAAGTTCTTTTTATGGCAGTAATTAAGGCCATTAAGAAGCTGGCGCATGATAGAAGCGTTGTGCTGCTCCGAGAACTCCACCATGCCGGACTCCAGAAGACCCATCAGGTCATGGTCCATATATTCAAACACCAGGTAGAAGGAACCCTTATCCTGCAACACACATTATAACCATCCTCTGTAGTAATATATCAATCATTTTTACATCTCTTCAAAACACTATCAAACATAAAAGTAAATTAAGCATACACACACACATATTGGAACGCACAAGAGTGCACCTGAGCATATATCCCAGCCCTTTAGCATGCACACATATTATACAAACTAACACTTCTCTGGAATGGTCATGGGAGGAGGAGAGGCGTGTTAGCATACGAGGGACTAGAATGTAGTGACACAGGTGTACAAAAAGGGCCCAAATGAGCCATACGGAAATTAAAACAATCTCCAGTGTTTAGGTGTCCCATGGAGAGAGAAAACGCCACTTGACTTGTGATCGAAGGTGTCGCCGACCCAACAGGCAGAATGGTAGAGGCAGAAGAAATGATCATTGCCCAGTACCTCAGACAACAAACAACCCTCAAACTCACACAAAGCAAAAGCAGGACCACCAAACCCACAGGGGATTTCCAGGGCCCAAAGGGTAAACCATGCAGGATGTCCAGACAGTGGGACTGCTACACTGGACATGAAAGTAAGCAGACATACCCAGGCTCACGTGACTGTCAAGGCCAACTTTTGCACACTGAGAAAAGCGTAGGAATCACCAGTGTGCCCCATCAGCTAATGTTACACCTGACCTAAGTTAAGGCAGGAAAATTCCAACACTCCTGACTTACCGTGGGCACGGGCCACCACAAGCAAGGAGGACCTTTAAGAAAGTGACTGGAACACTCAAGAGAAGATAACTCTGGCAATGCAAGGCAGCACTAGGGAGCACACAGGGAAGGTAACCCTGCACACTTGCAGCTCCAAGTACATTCAAAACTAGGCTCACCCTATACTGCAGTGTACAGGAAATACCACCAAGGACAAGCCACCACTTAGCTGAACCGGCAGAATACAGGAGCCGAGGAGGGGAGACCTGGTACACACTGTATCACTTGTAGAACTGGGAGTTCAGACCCCAGCAAGCAGTGAGCTACCTTTGCCCCGTTCCCCCCAAACAAGTGGGAGAGGTGTGGCAAACGAGCTCGTGCCAATCCAAGAAAACTCGATCGTTTGTTTACATAGTTTGAAGAGTTCTTTAGGTGGCTTTCAAAGATTTGGTCTCTCTTTGAATTCAGCAGTGATTTGACTCGGGTCTTCTGATTGGCTTTCTAGGTGAATTGGCAAACATAAAATGTCACCATTTCAGTGTTAATGGTGGCCCCCATTGGCCCTCCCCCCTCATTCCAAAATGAGGGGGAAAGGCAAGTTCTGGTACTAGTCTCTTGTAAATCTATAGAACTCTACAGCCGATGAGATTTAGTACATGGTACCATCTCATCACATAGTAGCTTTAGGGAGCTGTCATGTTCACAGAAAATGGTACCATCCGTTTTCTATGTGCGGCGGAGCAGACGCCAGAGAAGGTAAACAAGAGCGTACAGGATGCCCGCCAAGCTTGGTAGCTACTAGTCATGTAACATCTTAAGTATTAAAGTCAGTAACCAAGTCATGGCTTTACATCAACCCTACAATCAAGACTTCCTCAGTAACACACAAACACCACAGGAGCCAATGGGTCTCACTCAGAAATTGATACATATTTAATTTAATTCAATGCTGACTTTCTATTGGCAAGATGTCATACTGGAGCAATCATGCTGCTCAAGACTGTAATATAAAGTTGGAATGCATTTTCATTTAAATGAAAGTTGATGCACAACAAGTGTGGTGTAGTCTGCTTCCTGGCATGATGAAACACCCACCAGCTGACTGGGGTCTCGCGAGCCACAAGTGCAGGGAGGGAAGGCGGATGTGAATGCCTCCCTCATCAAATCATCACAAGGTAACCTCCCGCCCTCATCAAATCATCGCAAGGTAACCCCCCTCTCTTCCTCATCAAATCATCACAAGGTAACCTCCCTCCCTCATCAAATCATCGCAAGGTAACCCCCCTCTCTTCCTCATCAAATCATCACAAGGTAACCTCCCTCATCAAATCATCACAAGGTAACCTCCCGCCCTCATCAAATCATCACAAGGTAACCTTCCTCATCAAATCATCACAAGGTAACCTCCCTCATCAAATCATCACAAGGTAACCTCCCTCATCAAATCATCACAAGGTAACCTCCCTCATCAAATCATCACAAGGTAACCTCCCTCATCAAATCATCACAAGGTAACCTCCCTCATCAAATCATCACAAGGTAACCTCCCTCCATCAAATCATCACAAGGTAACCTCCCTCCCTCATCAAATCATCGCAAGGTAACCCCCCTCATCAAATCATCACAAGGTAACCTCCCTCCCTCATCAAATCATCACAAGGTAACCTCCCTCATCAAATCATCACAAGGTAACCTCCCTCATCAAATCATCACAAGGTAACCTCCCGCCCTCATCAAATCATCACAAGGTAACCTCCCTCATCAAATCATCACAAGGTAACCGCCCTCATCAAATCATCACAAGGTAACCTCCCTCATCAAATCATCACAAGGTAACCTCCTTCCATCAAATCATCACAAGGTAACCTCCCTCCCTCATCAAATCATCACAAGGTAACCTCCCTCATCAAATCATCACAAGGTAACCTCCCTCCCTCATCAAATCATCACAAGGTAACCTTCCTCATCAAATCATCACAAGGTAACCGCCCTCATCAAATCATCACAAGGTAACCGCCCTCATCAAATCATCACAAGGTAACCGCCCTCATCAAATCATCACAAGGTAACCGCCCTCATCAAATCATCACAAGGTAACCGCCCTCATCAAATCATCACAAGGTAACCGCCCTCATCAAATCATCACAAGGTAACCGCCCTCATCAAATCATCACAAGGTAACCGCCCTCATCAAATCATCACAAGGTAACCTCCCTCATCAAATCATCACAAGGTAACCTCCCTCATCAAATCATCACAAGGTAACCGCCCTCATCAAATCATCACAAGGTAACCTCCCTCATCAAATCATCACAAGGTAACCTCCCTTCCTCATCAAATCATCACAAGGTAACCGCCCTCATCAAATCATCACAAGGTAACCGCCCTCATCAAATCATCACAAGGTAACCGTCCTCATCAAATCATCACAAGGTAACCACCCTCATCAAATCATCACAAGGTAACCTCCCTCCCTCATCCTCCCTGTCCTAGGAAACACAGTCCTGTACGTGAATTTTTATTCCTATTCTATTGATCATGAGTCCCAGTTCACCCAACATCTGGGGTGAGTTCCCGGATCATGAGTTCCAGGAAGGTGATCATGTCCCAGAAGGACATGATCATCTTTCTCCCTTGGGAAAGAGTGATCATGTGTTGGGCATTAAATATGTTTCTCAATATAATCTAGTAGAGAATGGGGACATTGAAACAGTTGATAACTCGATTGCAAGAGAGGACGCTATGGGGAACTTTGAAAAAATGTTCATGGGTATAATTGGACAGACTTGTTGCTAGGCAAGGAAGTAAATGAGATGAATACCAAATTTTGTTAAATATGCGATGAAGGCACACAAACAATCATACCAAAACAGAGATGCAGACCTGGGAAACAGGGTTGGTTCAACAGAAATTGCAAGAGGGCCAGAGATCAAAAGACACAAGCATGGAATCATTATAGGAAGAGGCCAAATCCCCAAACATACCAGCGATACAAAGAAGAAAGAAAACTACACATTAGTAAGGAAAGAGGCAGAGAGGAACTTTGAGAACAGTATAGCAGACAAATGTAAATCAGATCCAGGCCTTTTCTATAAATTCAATAAAAGCATGCTGCAGGTAAAGGATAATACTCAAGGTTGAAAATGGGGAACAGATTCACGGAAAATGAAAAGGAAATGTGTGAAACATTTTAAACGAAAAGTTCCAAAGTGTGTTTGTACAAAATTAAATCTTCAGGGAACAAGACACAATAAGAATTCCAGAGAACAACATAGAGCACATAGAGGTGTCTAGAGATGAAGTGAAAAAATGCTCCTGGAGCTAAGTAAGAACAAAGCAATTGGCCCAGATGGAGTTAAACCATGGGTCCAGAGAGAATGTGCACCTGAGTTCAGCATGCCCCTTCAGCTGATTTTTCAGACATCCCCGTGTACAGGAATTGTAACAGACGTGTGGAAAAAGGCTAACATAGTTCCAATCTCCAAAAGTGGCAGCAAGGAAGACCCCCCTCAAGTATAGACCTGTATCATTGACAAGTGTAAGTCAAAATATTGGAAAAAATAATTAAAACTGAATGGGTAGAACACCTGGAGAGAAATGATATAATATCAGACAGACAGTATGATTTTTGATCTGGAAGATCCTGTGTATCGAATTTACTCAGTTTCTATGATTGAGCCACAGAGATTTTACAGGAAAGAGATGGTTGGGTTGACTGAATCTATCTGGACCTAAAAAAGGCTTTCGACAGAGTTCCACATAAGAGGTTGTTCTGGAAACTGAAACATATTGGAGGGGTGACATGTAAGCTTCAAACATGGATGAAAAATTTTCTGATAGAAAAATGAGGGCAGTAATCAGAGGCAATATCATCATACTGGAGAAATGTCACAACTGGAGTAGCACAGGGTTCAGTTCTTGCACCGGTAATGTTCATTGTGTACATAAATGATCTGCCAGATGGAATACAGAATTATATGAACATATTTGCTGATGATGCTAAGATAATAGGAAGGATAAGAAATTTAGATGATTGTCATGCTCTTCAAGAAGACCTGGACAAAAATAAGTATATGGAGCACCACTTGGCAAATGGAATTTAATGTTAATAAATGCCATGTTACAAAATGTGGAATAGGAGAACATAGACCCCACACAACCTATATATTATGTGAGAAATCTTTAAAGAATTCTGATAAAGAAAGAGATCTAGGAGTGGTTCTAGATAGAAAACTATCACCTGAGGACCACATAAAGAATATTGTGCAAGGAGCCTATGCAATGCTTTCTAACTTCAGAATTGCATTTAAATACATGGATGGCGATATACTA